ATCCATGGTGAATGCAGGTGAGTAAAGCTTAATAATAAATAAATAACAATAATAACTATAATGACAATATTGGGAGGAGGAGTGAGGTGGGGATGCTAAGAAAACAGTCTCTTATTTTTGAAATACAATGGTGGCAACCCTACGCACTCACTCCTAACCAGGGAGACCGCCAGAGCAAGAGATACTGGGGATAAAGGGAGTATATAGAAGGGCACAGAACAGACCCTTCCTCCCCGCTCCTGTCTCGGGGGGTGGGGGGTATGTCTACACTGCACACTATGCCTGGGCTCTGGCTCAGGTTTGAGCCCAAGCCCCCCTTCCATCCACACACAGATCAGTCTGACTCAGGTCAGCAAGCACTCAGAACCCGAGCCCTAGGACTCTGCTAGAGGGGGTGGGTCAGAGCCCAAGTCCCATTGTGACTCAAGTCCAAGCCCTGTCTTTTTGCAGTGTGGAAGCAGGTCAAGTCGCAGACCCAAGTCAAAAGGTCTGCATAGCACAGTATGCATGTGTTGGCATGGCAGTGAGAGCTGGATGTGGCAACTGTACACCAGGTTCGCAATGCAGTGTGGAAGCTCAAGTATGGTCTTGGAAACAGCAAGTCCACAAGCTTGGGTCCCACAGATCCAGGCTTAGTGTGGTGTAGGCATACCCTGGTGATTCTCTAGGGGACAGTCCTGCTCTGTCCCACTATTGGCTCAGATAGCCTCAGTCACTGCAGAGGCATCAGGGTGTCCAGGAGGCACAAAGTGCCAATCGGCTGCCCATTATATTGACTGGATATTTATTGGCAGTCCTTTCCATTCCACCGAGTGTCTAATTTATGGGCTGGACGCCCAGAGCACTGAATATTTTTATAAATGAATAAAATAAGTAAAAAATAACAATATAGGATAATGGGGCAAATAAAGGGACAGGGAAAATCTGCTGATGCCACTGAATGATTGTGTCTGGGGAAGATAGATATCACCATTACTACAGCTAATCAGATCTGCTTGCTGCATGAAGGTCTTCCATCACAGCATGTGAGAGTAGATAATTACAGTGGTCTCTCCTGGCACTGGAACCAAGTATTAAAATATTAAAATCTTCCAATTCTGTTGGAGTTTTGTTGCTGTTTTGGGCTTGTCCCTGACATGGGGCCAGCCACTGGCAGAGGAGTTATTCTTTCTGCAGACAACAGCAGTCGTTCCCACCCTTGTCGTGACAATATGGCAGCAGCCCAGAGCCAAGTTTATTTTGAAGTTGGGAATTTGATTGCACAGGCAACAGGTTTGGGCCTAGGTTTTATTTCATTCATACTTTTTTTTTTCATCCCTGAGAAAAAGTAGGATGGACACAATTAGGTGCTCAAGGAATCGAGGTACTTTTATCCTCAATAGTGGCTATATCTATCTACCCTAATAAGGACTATAACAGCAGTGCCCAAAGATGCTATTTATTGGTTTCTGAGGCCCAAATCTTCAATGGTATTTAGGCTCCTCACTTCCACTGAAATCAATGGAAGTGAGGAGCCTAAATACCTTTGAGGATCTGGGCCTGGATTAATTCACCAGCGTCCTCCTACTAAGTATACACAGGAGAAGCTTGTGGCAGCTCAGGTGAAACCATACCAACAAAGTGGTTTGTACTCCCCCAGAATAACAAGGGACCCATAACCATAGGTTTCTCAGGTCCCCAAGGGCAGAGGCAATAGTGGGAACCATGGATAACCCATGATATTTGGGCATAATCACAGTAACAGCATTTCAGTCCCAGTGATTGGTTGTCATCTGTTACATTTAAAAGTCTTTCTGCATAAAACAGGGCTCGTAGAAACTTACTTTAAAAAAAAAACGTCACTGGGTGAGAACCTCACCCTGCTCTGGCCCCTTTATTTTAGGTAAAAGGGCCCAGCGTGGCATATGGGAACCCTAAGAGCTCCATATCTATCTGCAGGAGGATTCTCCTGGTGCAGGAATGGTGGCAGACATCCATAAAGCTGTTTCCTTAGGACCTTGTCGCAGGCCCCTCCATACAGGGCTGGAGGAATACGGGGAAGACTGTGGGGTGTGAGCACAGCACATGCTGCTGCAGAGATTCCAGGCAGAGCTACAGCCCATAGGTCAGCCAATGGGGGCTGCTGTGACTTAAACCCAGGGTAGTCAAGTACTTTTTGTCAAGGTAGAAATTTCTTGGTCAAGGTCCAAACTCCAGAGAAAATAATAAAAAACAATAATAACAAAAAGAAAAGGAGGACTTGTGGCACCTTAGAGACTAACCAATTTATTGGAGCATGAGCTTTCATGAGCTACAGCTCACTTCATCGGATGCTTATGCTCAAATTGGTTAGTCTCTAAGGTGCCACAAGTACTCCTTTTCTTTTTGCGAATACAGTCTAACACGGCTGCTACTCTGAAACCAATAATAACAATAATAAGTAAATAAGATTTCAGGGTCTGTTCAAAAGCATCTGGTGGTCCAGATATGGCCAATGATCCACCTCTTCACTATCCCTGACTCAGACAGTCCCCCACGGCTCAGGTCTGAGCACACCTGCCTGATTGTATCAGGCCCCAAAGGCAACGTAGGTGGGACAATGAATATCTCCACCTGGTTTGAGAATCGTGCTGGGGTTTAGGCATGAGATAGGCATCCGGGTGCCTCGAGTGAGGCAGCAGTGCCAAGCCACTGGGCAATGGGGCCTGTGCCCAAGATCCCCGGCCAACTGGGGAGCCCCAGGAAAAATGGGTGCCCCAGAGCGCCAACCTTCTCCAGCCACCTGGTGCTCCTCCTGGGGAGCAGGGTAGGGCTGAGCAGGGCAAGCCCCCATGCCCCAACCCCCCTCCCCACCAGGAGTGCCAGGGTGGGGGGACGGACTGCAGGAGGAAGGGGTGGGGGAGGGTCCCCCACTTGCTCTGACTCAGGGCCCCACAAACCCCTAATCCGCCTCTGGCAGTGCTCATGCCCAGAGGCAGAGATTTAGGCACCTAGGAATCTTTTACAGAAACAAATTAGGCACTAAGTGAGGTTACACACCTAGGGGGTTAGGCAACCTGGGGGCGAGGTGGAGCTGTGTATTGCAGTGATGTCTAAAATTGGGGAATAGATATTTAAAGCCTAGATTTAAGTACCTAAATCCCTTTATGGATCTGGCACTTTATTACTAGAGTTCCAATCATGCACATAAAATTGTCTCCCCGTTTTGGATCCAATTCTCTTCTCACAGTGGCAGAAATCAGGAGTAATTTCAATGGAGTCAGTAGAATTACACTAGCATGAAAATTGTGTGAGAAGAGAATCACCCTATGTTTTATTTTAGGACAATGAAGATTTAATTCGGTAATTATCAAAGATTATTATCAACACAACATTCTCACCCCTGGCACAATTCTGCACTCCTTATGCACACAGAACTTCTATCGTCTCCAGAGGAGAAAAGGGATGCAGATTTAGGCTCTCAAGCAACAATTTAAAGTTATTTCTACACAGCAAATGAAAGTGTGATTGTAGTGTGCGTAAGCATAGTAACAATGTAGTGAAGATGTGGTAGCACGGGCTTCCGCACAGCTTACTGCCCCAGTACAAGGCCACTGGGACATACCCAGGTTGGTAGCCTACACTGACATCCATGACACCACATCTTCATGACTACTATCATTACCAGAGCTAACTAGATTAAAACTAGCACAGATATACGTACCCATGCTCCAATCATACATCTACACAGCAAATGAAAGTACCTTAAATCGCAGGAAAGGAAGATTCAAGGTTTAGCAGCTCGCACCTGATTTGTCTCTCTTTCTCTTACAACTTATTTTAACATTATTGTTTACAATGTTTAAAATTATACTTAACAGAATAATTAAATTGTACATGTGTACAAATGCTTACACAGTAGAAGAGAATAAAAATACAAGAGCAATATTTTTCTCGTAGTTATGCAATGGTTTCTCTATCTTGTTGTAGTGGGGTCTACAAAACCCATACTGAGCATAGACAGAGGCGGAAGGAGAGCCTCTCCTGATTACAAGCAAGCAGCTAGATCACACCCCCATGCCGCTGCCAGTCATGGAGGCAGGCAATCATATCTGCAGCTAATAGAGGAAACAAGGCCTGCTATAAAGGGGAGAGAAAGGCCTGGGACAGTGAAGGGGCAATACCTCTGTATCAGGCTGCCTGCATGAACGCAGCCAAGAGACTGAAGCAGACTGCTAGACTTAATTAGAGGTGAGGGTCCAAGAACTGCCCTGACTGAGAGCAAACTAAGGAGGGCCAGTCAGGAGAAGCAGAGACCCCACAAAAGACCCTACCTGGAGATGGTTACAATTTCCATATGATATTCATACTAAGATAGTATGGATCTTATTAAATTCAAGCTCCTCACCTTCATCTCTCGCCCCAGTCTCATTTCTTCCCCATGCCCCATCTCACTCCACATTCTTCCCAGCCCTTTGTGTCCTTTTCCTATTCCTGGCTGTTTGTCTTCTCTCACACTCAACCCTATGTCTGGGACCCACATGCTGTCCTCTTCCACCTGGCACCTTCTCTCTTCTGCAAATTATCTTTCAAACATATTTCACTCCCAGCAATCTGTCCTACGTCAAACCCTGCCTTTCTTTCCGCAATTCATCTCCTGAATTGTTATCCTGTGTCCTATCTTATGGTTATTTGTCTAGTCTTCTACAGATCATAGGTTCTTTGGGGCATTGACTTCAGTGGAGCCAAGATTTTACCCTGTGATTTTAGAGAGGCATGTATTTTTGAGATGTTTCATAAAAGAAACTGACGAGATGTGATTATAGAATGAATATAAGGATAGCATCATAATCTACAGCAAAAGGCTTCAAAGTTACTCTTTTCCATAAGCATGGGACAAACATACAGGAAGAATTTCCCTCAAAGTATAAAAATTCAAGAGTATGATTGCCAACAAATGGAATAAAAATGGTAAGTGTTTAAAACATTAAAATGCATCCAATTGGAATGTCCCATTCCTACTCAGAATCATTCATAGTTGATTATAGGAATTCAGTTACAAAATTCTTGGTTAAAGGGGATTTTCCATATTTCACAAAGTACCACAGCTTTGTCATCCATCCATTAAACTGGGGAATGTCTTTGGGAGCCGTGTTAAGTGAACGGTTTCTCATATGATCAACCAAGAATTTCTTCAGTTCGCACACACTCTCACTGTATCCTATATTCACTTGAGCCATGGGAGGGACTCCATGCCACATGCTGGGAATGTACCAATTATGCTTTTCTGGGACATAGTCCATGATGTCAGAAAATGCCACTTCTCTGGATCCTTTTTCTTTCTTTGCTGCAAGTTTGGTCATTTCATTCAGCTGTTCCACAAGATATTTCCTGTTTCTCGTGTTTTGTTCTTCTGCAGACACATCATTGATGTTATGATGCACAAATTGGAAGGTGGGCTTCTGCCCAATTTCCTCCGTTTTGAGAAATGAGTGAATCACAATTTGCAGAATATCATGCATTTCTGTTGCATTTTTCATGGCAATGTTAATGATTGTTATGTCACTTAACCCAATCACCAGTGTGGCCAGCTCATTGTCACGTTCATAATTATTCTCCATTTGGGCCAGTTGAGGGGCTTTCAAACCTTGTGTGTCTATAACCAGGATGAAATCACAATGAAGATCCTCCTTTAAGTTTCCTGTAACTTTAATGAGTGACATGAAGGCTCCTTGTGTACATCGGCCACTGCTCACTGCAAGCTGCAGGCCAAACATGGTGTTGAGGAGGGTGGATTTCCCAGTGCTCTGCACTCCTAGCACCGCTAGAACCAGCATTTTGGACTTTCCCCCCAACTTGATATGGAGATGAGTCAATACATCTGTAACCCACTGCAGTGGGATGTTGGATGCATCCCCATTGAGCAGCTCCATGGGAAACCCTTCCAACATCAGGTCAGCCGCAATGTCTGGAAACTGGCTGAATTTTCTTTGGCTTTCTAGCATTTTGCCTTCCTTGACCATTGAGCATTCAGCTTCATAAAACTGTCCCAACTCAAGCATGAAATGCTCCACCCCTAAGGAACTGTCAGAGAGTGATTCATCTAGTTCTGCTAATAATATGGGATCACGTGTCCTCTCATATTCATCTTGCAATTTAGAAAGATTTCCCCTAACAATGCAATCCAGATTCAATTTAAACCACTTCAGGAAGTAATGTTTCCCCATTGCATCTTGATGCCCAATTCCTTCAGTAAATTTAGTTAGGCCACTAGTAAAATCACATTTATTCTGCTCTGTACGTAGCTCCAACCATTTCTCTTTCAGTTTAGATTTATCGATCTCCACAGGGTTGCCATTTTGCCCTTTCACTCCGTACAGCTGTTTCTCCACTTCAGCTAAATCTTTCCAGAGTTTCCCCTGGAGTCTGAGCATTTTCCTCTTGTACTTTGCAATATCTTCTATTTCCCCAGTGATTTCTTCAGTCCACTCTTTTGCCCTCTGACATTCCTCACAATCCTCATCTACTTGGATTCCTATGTTACGTGCTGTCATGGCCATTTCTTCCACATTCACTCTCTTGTGAGTGGAGTTCATTATGCTTCTTATGGTGGATTGCACCTTTTTCACAAATTCTGCCTTATTTGGGGCACCATTTTTTACCAATAGGTGTGATTTGTTGAACTTCAGCAGTGGGGCTAAGTTTCTAAGAGGTTGTAGAATTTCAGTACATTTCTCATCTGGAGGATTAAGGATGAAGTAGAATTTAGCTCTTGATTGCTGCAGAGATGATAACAGCTCGTATTCTCTCTCATTGATGCTCTCAGTAATTATGAACACTGCTGAGGAGATCTCTGTTAAAAAGTGAAACTGCAGCCAGTGTGACTCAATGTCTCCATGCAGGTTTGTAATCGCAATGGGCTCTGGGAAAAGATCCAAATTCTGCCTTCCACCAGGGAAATACCAGGATATCTCGACCAGCCCATCTGCAATTTCCCGAAGGACATTCCCAGACTCCATGTCCCGATGGATAAAGAAGTCGTGGTGCTGTTGGGAGGAACTAAGAAGCATATTGAGGAGTTTGGACTTGGAGAAGCTGCAGCTCCCCAACCGCACAAAGGAAATGGTTGGCATTTTGGTGAGCACCAGACTCTCCTCCCTGAACCCTCTGCTCTCTGCCAGGGAGTGAGGCCTCCACTTCCTCACAATGTTCCTCATGGCCCACAGCAGTAGGGTGCCCTTGGGGGTGTTGATGGCTGGTAACAGTAGAGGGAGGGAAAACTGGCACATGGACATTCTGGATAGGATCTCCTGATGTAGGAAACTGTCTGAGCAAAGCAGAACAGCACAAATAACATCAAGGGGGTGCAGAGAATCAGTAGTGTCAGGGTCACTGTGAGAGAAAATTGTTTCATCGATACTCTGTTCCTTTTCTTGATTGCTTCCTTGTTCCTCAGATGTGCTGGGCATTATGGTTGTGCTTCTGGCTGTCCCATTCAGAGCCATGACCTTTCTCAGAAAATTCCGAGGTAAATCTTCTAATGCATGAGGTGTCTGGTCTTTGAAACTTTCCAGGATGTGGTTTATGGTGAGCTTTCTCTTGCTATATTTCTCCATTTTCATCCTTTCTAGGAGTTCCTGAAGTGGTGTCCGTTTTGCTGAAAAAAGAAAAGGAGATACGTTATTAAAAATGCTCCTTTTGCTCTTGCTCTATAACTTTCTTTTTTCTAATGTTGTTCTTCAACTCTTGAAGCGTATCTCTGGTGCATACCTTGAGGCTGATCTCACTATGTGAAGACACTGTTTGAAAGGGACAGTGTGGATTGCACTTTTATTGTACCCTATAATCAAATGAAACAATGGATTTTCTAAATGCCTGTGCTAAAAACTCAGCCTGGGCTCTGGGATGAACGCTTGTTTATTTTCTTCCTCTGCTTCTCCACTGGTAATAAAAGTTCTACAGACTAAATTCTGTCCTTTGTGGTACCTATGCAGCCCCCATTTCCTTTAAATGGAATTTAGCAAACAATTGTGTTCGATTTTATTCTGGCTTGTGCCTACTTATTTCTGTCTCCCATAGCTAAGGGAGTAAAAAAATCAAGAAGCCAGCAGCTATCTCACTCACACTCACAGGTCTGTTGAGTAAGAATGGATCTCTTTGACTTATGGTTTCATTGGGGTCCCCTCTCTGTCTTTCTGTGTCCACCTCTTGTCTCATTAGACTTAGATTATAAACTCTTTGGGGCAGGGACTGTCTTTTATTTTGTGTTTTTTGGCTATGGTAATATAAATAATTAATAGACGTTATGCAGACCAGACCACTACTGCTCTTTAGGCTAGCTTAGTTGTAGCAAAGAAAGAGCATTGAAGGATTTGTGGCAGTGTTAGGTTAGTCGATTTGCACTATGCCATCTCACAATGCACAGCACTTTGCCATGAAAGTGAAGTACTACGGGGGGGGGGAGGTGTACATATTTCTTGAATTTTTTTAAAATTTCTCATTGCATTTTTCTGGGGTTATCTCTCTTACAATAGGGAGGCAAAAGGGGCACACTGTATATAAATAAAGATATTCAGTTGAACTAAAGGAATACCTGACCAGGGACACCGCTTACCCAATATGTAGCTTTGGATGTCCCTTTTTGGAAAATGTCACACTCATGTCTAACCCATGCTAACATTGTGTCGCTCTTAGTTCCCTTCTACTGGCTCACAGAGTTAAAGAAAAAATCTACTGTGGTATAAGACAATGCTTGTAAAATTTCAGCTAAATTGATTTTGTTTTAGCATTGTTGCAGTAGGAATGGTGATAGACAGTAACAGCCAATAAACTATATTGAATTAATCTTCAGGGTATTTACCTTGTGGGTCAGATTGAAAGAGGACCTCCTCATAATGTATATATTCACACACATCTGAAATCAAGAATATAGTTGTAAGCTTTATGGAACCAGTGCTACATAGCTCTAAACATTCTCTATCTTCCATCCAGAACTGAATGGATAATTCAAAACTAATCATCCATTTGATTAGTCTTTTCCATTGCAGACTATCTATAAGCATAGGGTGATTTTTCTCAAATTTTCTTTGTTGTTCAGAATTTTTTTCATTGTTCATAGAGTTTAAGGTCAGAAGGGACCATTAGATCATCCAACCTGACCTCTTCTACAGCACAGGCCAGAGAGTGTCACCCACTTACCTCTGTACAGAGCAGGCTGAAACTTTTTTTGACAAAAAAATGAATATTTGGTGACTTCAAAACATTTTGCAAATTCATGTCAGCTTGCCAAATTGTTTCTTTCAGGAAAAAAATATTAAAAAGTCAAAACATTTTGTTTAGATGTTTTTGATTCAAAACAATGTTTCCTTTTGAAATTTCCTTCGATTTTATTTAAAATTTTAAAAAAGGAACAGAACATTTCCTTTGACCTGAAATGAATTTTCTTTTTTGCAATTGTCAGTGAGCATAAAATCAGTTATTCCCCCACACACACTCTACTCCTGTATTGAGCCCAATGACTTGTGTTTGACTAAAGCATATCTTCCAATATCTTTTAATTAATTTAGTTTGCCATCTGGATTGCTATTCAAGCTGTGTTTAGTTGTGATTTTCTGACTTCATAAGTCACACAGTATTGTATCATTTCCCTGATTTGATTAGCATAATTTTTATAATCAGCTTTCGGGGCAATGGTTCATATAAAATATGCTTCCCATGAGTATCCAAATGATTGAACTTAAAAGTCACTTCCTGTGACCATTGGTGATAGTAAAACTATCACACAAATGTTTACAGAAGGCAAACACAAAGAGGATATTAACACAGCTAAAGTGAATTCATTTAAAAATGTGAACAATTATTCACAGAATTGTTTGTGTTTTTCAAACTGTAATCACATCCTTAATACAAGGAATAATACAGAATTCAGCTTTTGGAGATGGTGAAGGGGTTAGGACATGAGCCTGAGATTTGGGAGACCTGGAGTCATTTTCCTGCTCTGCCACAGACTCCCTCTATGACCTTGGCCAAATTAAGGTCAGGGATAGCTCAGCGGTTTGAGCATTGGCCTGCTAAACCCAGGTTTGTGAGTTCAATCCTTAGGGATCGGGGCAAAAATTGGGGATTTGTCCTGCTTTGAGCAGGGGGTTGGACTAGATGACCTCCTGAGGTCCCTTCCAACCCTGATATTCTATGATTCTATGCCCTGGTCTACACTAGGACTTTAGGTCGAATTTAGCAGCGTTAAATCGATGTAAACCTGCACCCGTCCACACAATGAAGCCCTTTATTTCGACTTAAAGGGCTCTTAAAATCGATTTCCTTACTCCACCCCTGACAAGTGGATTAGCGCTTAAATCGACGTTGCCGGCTCGAATTTGGGGTACTGTGGACACAATTCGATGGTATTGGCCTCCGGGAGCTATCCCAGAGTGCTCCATTATGACCGCTCTGGACAGCACTCTCAACTCAGATGCACTGGCCAGGTAGACAGGAAAAGAACCGCGAACTTTTGAATCTCATTTCCTGTTTGGCCAGCGTGGCAAGCTGCAGGTGACCATGCAGAGCTCATCAGCACAGGTGACCATGATGGAGTCCCAGAATCGCAAAAGAGCTCCAGCATGGACCGAATGGGAGGTACGGGATCTGATCGCTGTTTGGGGAGAGGAATCCGTGCTATCAGAACTCCGTTCCAGTTTTCAAAATGCCAAAACCTTTGTCAAAATCTCCCAGGGCATGAAGGACAGAGGCCATAACAGGGACCCGAAGCAGTGCCACGTGAAACTGAAGGAGCTGAGGCAAGCCTACCAGAAAACCAGAGAGGCGAACAGCCACTCTGGGTCAGAGCCCCAAACATGCCGCTTCTATGATGAGCTGCATGCCATTTTAGGGGGTTCAGCCACCACTACCCCAGCCGTGTTGTTTGATTCCTTCAATGGAGATGGAGGCAATACGGAAGCAGGTTTTGGGGACGAAGAAGATGATGAGGAGGAGGAGGTTGTAGATAGCTCACAGCAAGCAAGCGGAGAAACCGGTTTTCCCGACAGCCAGGAACTGTTTCTCACCCTAGACCTGGAGCCAGTACCCCCGAACCCACCCAAGGCTGCCTCCTGGACCCAGCAGGCGGAGAAGGGACCTCTGGTGAGTGTACCTTTTAAAATACTATACATGGTTTAAAAGCAAGCATGTGAAAGGATTACTTTGCCCTGGCATTTGCGGTTCTCCTAGATGTAGTCCTAAAGCCTTTGCAAAAGGTTTCTGGGGAGGGCAGCCTTATTGCGTCCTTCATGGTAGGACACTTTACCACTCCAGGCCAGTAACACGTACTCGGGAATCATTGTAGAACAAAGCATTGCAGTGTATGTTTGCTGGAATTCAAACAACATCCGTTCTTTATCTCTCTGTGTTATCCTCAGGAGAGTGAGATATAATTCATGGTCACCTGGTTGAAATAGAGTGCTTTTCTTCAGGGGACACTCAGAGGAGCCCATTCCTGCTGGGCTGTTTGCCTGTGGCTAAACAGAAATGTTCCCCGCTGTTAGCCACAGGGAGGGGGGAAGGTTGAGGGGGTAGTCACGCGGTGGGAGGAGGCAAAATGCGACCTTGTAACGAAAGCACATGTGCTATGTATGTAATGTTAACAGCAAGGTTTACCCTGAAAGAGTGTAGCCACTGTTTTATAAAATGTGTCTTTTTAAATACCGCTGTCCCTTTTTTTTTTCTCCACCAGCTGCATGTGTTTCAATGATCACAGGATCTTCTCCTTCCCAGAGGCTAGTGAAGCTTAGAAAGAAAAAAAACGCACTCGCAATGAAATGTTCTCTGAGCTCATGCTGTCCTCCCACACTGACAGAGCACAGACGAATGCGTGGAGGCAAATAATGTCACAGTGCAGGAAAGCACAAAATGACCGGGAGGAGAGGTGGCGGGCTGAAGAGAGTAAGTGGCGGGCTGAAGAGAGTAAGTGGCGGGCTGAAGACAGGGCTGAAGCTCAAATGTGGCGGCAGCGTGATGAGAGGAGGCAGGATTCAATGCTGAGGCTGCTGCAGGACCAAACCAGTATGCTCCAGTGTATGGTTGAGCTGCAGCAAAGGCAGCTGGAGCACAGACTGCCACTGCAGCCCCTCTGTAACCAACCGCCCTCCTCCCCAAGTTCCATAGCCTCCACACCCAGACGCCCAAGAACGCGGTGGGGGGGCCTCCGGCCAACCAGCCACTCCACCACAGAGGATTGCCCAAAAAAAAGAAGGCTGTCATTCAATAAATTTTAAAGTTGTAAACTTTTAAAGTGCTGTGCTTAAAGTGCTGTGCGGCATTTTCCTTCCCTCCTCCACCACCCCTCCTGGGCTACCTTGGTAGTCATCCCCCTATTTGTGTGATGAATGAATAAAGAATGCATGAATGTGAAGCAACAATGACTTTATTGCCTCTGCAAGCGGTGATTGAAGGGAGGAGGGGCGGGTGGTTAGCTTACAGGGAAGTAGAGTGAACCAAGGGGCGGGGGGTTTCATCAAGGAGAAACAAACAGAACTTTCAC